CTATATAATTTAATTATTTTGTCCACATTCAGTTGAATGTTGTAAAACCAAGTAAGCTTATCCCTGTATTCTGATGCAAAATTTGAGAGGCTGCTCTCAAAATAAAATCCTCTAGAATATTCCTCTGAAAGTTCTTGGCAGCAATTATGCAACATTTCACTTGTCTCAGAAAATGATCTATTATACAAAATGGGTTGGGAATAACTCTAAATCCTAAACTCCTATTTCTTAAATCATTGGTTTTCTCCAGTAATGGTGAGAGTAGAGTGGTCTCCAGAGTATTTCATAACAAGAGTCCATAAAGTAGTAGGAAGCTAATAGAAAACCTTCAAGAGATTAAACTAGGTTCTCAGCAAGTATAAATAGACATTGTGCCGTTGCAGTGAGCTGATTCAGTTAATCTTGAAGTTTTTTAGTAAAGTTTTTAGTAACCAAATTTTCTCTCTGAGATAGATCTTTGGTCCCTGTTCGTATGGCAGGTTTTCAAGACTGGCATGTTCTAACAAGGGCAAAATTTGAGGGAATACCAACAATACCAGGACTGAAGAGAAAGAAGAATGCCTTTCTATACAAAAGGACAAAGCTGAGGAAAGACTATGTAATATAGTTTTATAATATATCACTCAGAGTGGCTGAGGTAGGAAGGGACCTCTGAAATTCATTTTGTCCAAATACCCCCCAACCCAAGCTGGGCCACCTAGACATTCGCCCAGGACCGTGGCCAAACGGCTTTTGAGTATCTCCAACGACGGAGATTTCACAACCTCCCTGGGCAACCTGTATTGGTGCTCAGCCAGCTGGGTGGCCCCCAGCACCCACTGGTGCATGGGGCTATTCCTCCCCTCAGGAAGGACTTTGCAATTCTCTTTGTTGAGCTTTGCTGAATACATAATAATAGAGACCTGGGGAGGAACCAACTCAACGGGGAAAAGGAGGAGGAGCTGCAGGACCAATGTGGTCACCAGTGGTACCCAAGAAGAATGCTACAGCAATGGTGACCACCAGCTGCAGTATGAGGCAGAGAGTAAATACTGTGAGGAGCAGATTGAGAAGCCAAGGAGAAATACGGAGGAGAAAAGAGAAGGCACCCACTGAAAAGGAACCTTTAAGAACACTTTCTGTCCAACTGGCAAGAGGTAATTTTGAAAAGAAGCAAGACACAGAGCTTTTGCCACTTTGTTTTCTAACATGAACAAGTGGAAAAGAACAAATTCAAAAGCCATGACACTAAATCTCAACATAACTGAAATCCTCCACAGTCTGAATCTACAAATTTGCTTTATCTGTAGACATAAATAAACAACTTGGAGATAAGAGATGTTATCTGAACACTCATGCTCAACTGAGCATCTCAGTCAGAAGCACTTGTTTTTAATATAATGCACAGCACTGCATGGCCAAGATCACTGAAAAGTCTCTGCCTTTTTAGTGATCACAGTATATTGCAGAGAGAGTGGGTATATTGAGTAATAAAGCATTTCAATGCACTGGCTATCTTCTTTTTGTTGTTGTTTAAATGAAGGCATTGGGTAGAAAAGTAAAAAAACCCCACTTTGCAGTTTATACACTTTTAATTGAGCCTCCCCAGTTATACTGCAAAAATCACGTGTCTTACGTATACAGAAATAATGTATATAAATACAGACACACTGATCTCTGTAATGAATGAACATAAAATCAAAAGGACAACTGAGAGAAAATATATCTCCATATTATGAGACTTCTAAAACTGAATGTAAACTGGTCACTCCAACGTGGAAAACTTGAAAGCCAAGTTCAAGACCTAAATTTAAATTATATAAGAAACAATGACATTAAGTTTCAGTTCACCTTTAAGGAAACAGTTAAAAATATTTAAGTTTCACAACTAAGTAATCATAGATCTGCCTTGAAAACTATTGAACTGGTCTGTGCTGATTCTAATCTATAGACAATGACACAGTAATTTGCTGTGATGCTTCAAAAATTGCCAAAGGTTAAAACTTATTAATAGAATTTGATTGGAACACCAGAGTCAAGACTAAAACAAAATATGAAGTGAACCAAAGGTGCCTGCTAAAGTCTACAGAGTTTTCAACCATTTCAGAAGAAACAAGCAAAAGACATCCTTTCTGTTTCAATCAAAATAGATTATGAGTTTCCTTAAAGAGAGACTTGCATTTTTGCACCAAAGACCTCCTCTGCATTCAGAGCCACGGCAGGTCTGAAGCCAGCCTGTGTGCTTGCAAATCTTTCCTCTAGCTACAGGAAAGAAAGAACAGATATCGCCAGAATACGCTCCCTAGCCCTGAACAAAGAATCCAGCACTATCAAAGCATTAGCAATCCTTGGTTCATGCTGCTTTGTTTCTGTCAGTGCAGAATATAAAAGCATCTTTGGCTGTAAGTTTCGTAACAGAAATGAGTACCTTGTCATGTTTTAAATCAGCAGCTGAAAGACTTCTTAAGTGAATGTGATAGTATTTGAAACGTCCCATGCTGCCATGCTTACGATATGCCAATCACAATTAATAGCAACAGATTCGCTATTCCAAAACAAATAAAACCTGCGGAGTTTTTCTGCTGAATGAAGGTCTGATAAGTGAAAACACAAGCAAAATTACCACAATAGCCAGTTAGTCTGTCAATGGAAATTACTTTCATTTGTCTGTATTCACAAGGGTTAGTAAACAATAACACTTCAGCTAATACAGTTTTGTTACATTCAAATTGAATGTGAAACACAGGCTGACATTATAAATGGATCTCTTACTCTTCCACACTGGATTTCTGCGTCTTCTGAGTCTTTAAGTTGGTCTGTAAGTTTTATATATTTTGGTATCAAACCTATAAATTCGTGTCATTTTTCCTTTTAGCAAATTAAGGATGGTCCTGCATGTTGTTTGAAGGAGAGATATATCTATAGTTTCCCCTCACTCAGTAGGTAACAAGTGAATATTTTATATTATTCTAGTGAATTTTAAAGAGTTGTGCTGAAAATCCACTTGGCAGGTTTGTAAGATCTCTCTCCCTCTGTAAAGAAATATGTCTCTCCTTCCAAGTTATGTGAATTTATTTTTTGAAGTCCCACAACAGTTTTGATGCTCCCAGCTGTCCTGCCCCACCAGCAGGTTTACCAATACTAACTTGTACCTCGGGATTCTCTTACCATGGGGAGCAGATGCTTTTGTTCCCTTTTTTTTTTTTTTTCAGTAAATGCTGCTTTTTTGTCATATGGGTCTAATTCCTCTCATCTAATTTCTTCCTCATCTTGACACTTAATTCAAAACTTCCCTCTAAGCTCTCCTCATATTTACTGACCGGCCAAAAAAAGCTTTTCTTTGTAAGCTGACTGAGCATCTATTGAAGGGCTCCCTTGCAGGCTACTACTCTGGACCTATTACTTAGGAAACTTTGGGACACTAGGCAACACAGGCTTACTCAGACAGACATAAGGCAGACCAGATAATAATTCACGGGACTGAAGTGTGTGATTAAACTCGCTTTGCCTTTAAACTTTTGCTGGGAAGTCTCCTATAAAACTTTTAGGAACTAATGATGCTGGGAGTACAGCAGGGATGCGAAGGCTAATACCAAGAAATAAACCTATGTAAAATTACTTGCAATCATGCAGTAAAGAAACTAATTCACAAGTTTTAACCTAACGGGCAGATAGATGTAATGAGTCTAGTTCTGTAACGGACCAACTGCTCTCTCACAGTTGGATTCCCTAAACAGTTACACTGGGAATATTTTGGACAGAAAAAAACTTTATAAATCCACCCACATACATACAAAAAACTTTTGTAGCTCTCAGCCAGCTCTGAAGTCTTTGGTCTTCTTTAAAAAAAATCCACAACAAGCATGAAACAATCTCTACAGCTTTTCTCAGCAGGCCATCACTGCTCAATGAAAATAATAATTTTAAAAGTAATATCTCTAGGTTGATGTATTTACAATCTTACCACCTGTGAAAATTCTCAGCTTCAGCTTTTCTTGGATGGTGGTGTTAATTTAACATTTTTCCCTTCTAGGAGTTTCATACTTAATTTTCATGCATACCTTTAGCTTTTATGGATGTTATCTGATTGTTTCTAACAGGGAATAATGTAACTTCTGAATTACATGTTGCCAGTGTTACATAAACACGATGCTTTTGCCTACAGCATTCCATCCAAATTCATGTTAAAGTCCCAAAAAACTATTTGGGAATTTTGAGGCTGCAGTGGCCATGGCTCTTTGTAGAGCAGATGCTCCACGCAACTACAAATAGGTGTTCCTGCAGTGCCAGCAGTAAATTAAGAACAATTACATGCATATGCCAGACGGTACTCGTCCTTTTTTGTTGTCAGGTGTTATTATCTAAATCTTCTTTGTTCTCATATGAAGCTGTGTTTTCTTATTCCACTTTCCATTACGTCCTTAAGCTGTAGACCAGAATTTTAAATAGTATATACCAAGCCAAGATCTGTAGTCCCTGATGTCTTTAGAATGCAAGGTGTGAAGGGCTTGAGAATATAAATGGAATTGGGCAGATGCAGAGGGGATTGAGAAAGCAACTGGGAAGGCCACAGAAGATTTAGTCTAAACATTATATAGGAAAACTGACATAAATCAGAAGAGGGAGGAATGAATGTCAGATATGGTAAGACCATTTAGCACTGGTGACTAGTCTAAACTTAAAAAGTCCAATCTGACTTTACTATCTGACTGCATAAGAACATAGCACTCACATTAATTATGAATAATTCTCCAGCAGATGATGAGAAAAACTTTTTTTTTTCTCCCCCGAGAAAAATCACCTTTCTCTAATCAGACAACTGCAAAACAAAACAAGCTAGTGCTCCATACTTCTCATGGTTCCCACACTGGGTAGCCAAATGTCTTTGAAACCTTATGGCACAAAGCTTTCCAGTGCGCCCAGTCCTGGCAGCTGTGGAAGAGAGGCAGGGAAGGTCTCTATAGTGATGAGGAGGTTACATAAGTTTTCTCTCAGAGGCAGCGTCTCCCTCTGTCTCTTACCTTGTTGCACAAAGGATCCGTACACAAACCACATGGAGTTATAGAGGGTTGTGGAAGTCATGGATCCCATCTGAAGCCGTGGAGGGTTGAGCCAGTTCAAGAGGTAGACCAGCAGCCCTACTAAGAGCACAGTGCCAGCTATGCATGCCCACAGGGAGAGGTCAAATGGTGCCAAGCAGGCAAACATATCCACTGTCTTCTCCGCCTTTCGAAGCAGCACGCCCACCGAGTAGTCCATGTAACGCGTTGTGAAGTCCACCACATTCTCCCTCTCAGGGGTGATGGTTAGGGCAGAGATTCCTATGTCAGCTCTCTGAGGACAGAGTGAGAGAGAACAACATGCATAAGGAAGAGCTACAGAAAAGATCTTTGTTCCTCTGTGATTTGTAACAGCTAAGCTTAGGGACAAGCAGATGCCAAGGCCAAGGTCTTAAGCATCATATGTATGAACACAGAAATGTGACTAAGGCTTGAACAGAGTAGTTGTACCATGTGTCTTACTTTCTATAAGGAAATCTCACTTGGCAGACTTGGGCACATTAGCTCTCCACATTGTTGTTTTCCAACGAACATAGATAATAGCTGGAACAAATCTACTCCTGGTCATTTTTCTCAGCCTGGCTCACTGAAGCCATCAATGTGATTGTGGCAAAAGGCAGACCTCGTGTATAGTATTTTCAATCAGAGGAAATTAGAGCCACATAATATCCAATGTTTTGATAACATGATTATCATGATGAGAGGCCACTGCACTGTAGACACTTGAAAGTCTGAAAAACATCCATTTTGGCTGCAAAGTCTGAAGTAGAGTTATCCCACGCAGTTCCTTTACTGCTAATTCCTCTATATCCTCCCGCTAAGCAATTCCTCTCTATGTCAACCCATCCTGCAGCTACCTTGGACTTGTTTTGTGCCATTTACATTTTTGGTAATTTAAAGAACCCATTTCAGATGAAAAGAGGATGAATAACATTCCTTGATCTAGTCATTGTATTTCACAGCATGTTTGGGTATTAGGTCTTCAGAGACACAAGACACAACTACAGTAGGTGCTATTTTACTTTTCACAGGTACAATTAGAACTGCAGTGAAAACCAGGAAGAGTATTTAAAGCAGACACAGTAACACTATTTTAAAAAGCCCAAATACTGAACAAAAAGATTGCAAATTCTAGATATTTTAATATGAAAAAGATTCCTTAAAGTACTTTAAGCTGCTACTAATTTGTTTTAATCCACTTCTGTTCTGCCTACAGCAGTGTGTGGTCCTTTGGAAATGGATGAGGAGAGCACAGACTTGAAAGTACTGTGTCAAATTCTATTACCTCTCTTGAATCTCTTTCTTCTTGCCCAAAGTAGGCAGAGATTACCAGGTCCTTAAAAATGTGATGTGAAATATTATGTGGGAAGGTACGGTTGCTGAAGCTGATGAAAATCTTGTCTCTTAATACCACCTGCAAAACACTTGCAGCCCATGGCACAAACATACTTTTTATCACAGTGCACTTAAGACTTTGGTTTAAATGATGTTACTTTACCTTTATATTAATGGTTCACTAGCTTGAGAAACTGGAAGAAGAAAGCTGGAGGCCTCATTATTTGGACAAAAAGTATTTGAAAAAATTGATTTGCTTAAAAGACATGAATTAGAGCTTCAGCTTTAATTTGTGGGTTAGATTCTCTAGTATCTTATAAGAATTTGTGTTGATGTGCATAGCTGAAAACATGACTTCACAAATTCATGTCCCTTCCTAACAATTTTTTTGTGAGTGATGCTTTAACTACCCTTTTCCCATAGGCAGCAGCAAACTCAGTCAGTAATCCAAGTACAAATTTCATCAGAATTGTCCTTGGAAACATTTGGGTCATCTGAGTCTCCATCCACTTGTTATAAAACTTCTGGTCAACAAGTGACTTCACTGCTAAACGGTTAAGTGAGCAAGTTGCAAAGCACTCAGCATTTGAACCGTTTTCCACAGTTGTGAATACAAATGTATTTAAAAAATAATTTACAAATGTATTAGGTCCAATGCTCTATACCAATAGTTGTTGAACCAGAAAATATGGTTATATTTATTGAATGGGATTGTTTGGGGGTTTTATTTACTGAATGTATATCAAAAAGTGAAATAGGCATTCAGTGTTAAAGGAGAACACATGGAAACAAAAAGTCCTAGGCTTAGGCCTTGTCTTTTAACTTTAGTTGTGTTATTAATTATCAATATATTTCTAAAATATCAGTGTATTTCTAAAATACTTGCCTACCACAGTAGATTATTGCAAGGTGATAATGCAAGTTGCATTTGTAAGACATTTAAAGATTACCCACTGAAAAGCAATATACATAAGTAAAAATACTTCTACCAAATAATAGATTACTGTAGGTCTGAGTTACTAAGATTTTTTTTTCTGCTTTTTTCCCCACATTTTTTTTTTACAAGAAATATATTTCTCCAGGGAACACATTGAAGGGCACTGCATGACAAAGCGCAGTATGTTGTATTTGTGGAAATACTCCTTCTATTTTACATCTCTGAGGAGCAGTACCTCAAAATTCCCCAGCATTATGTTTCCATTTTGGTTATCAGTCAGCTATGACACAGGAACATCATTGTCCTAATGGAAATATGCCCGAGCAGCAAGAGACCTGGTTAGAAAAGCTAAAGCTCAATTTGAATTAAATCTAGCCAGGGGGATCAAGGGGAATAGCAAAAATTTCTATAGGTACGTTAATGGTAAAAGGAACACTAGGGAAGGTGTAGGCCCCCTTAGAAAGGAAACGGGTGAACTGGCTACACGTGACATGGAGAAGGCTGAGGTACTCAATGACTTCTTTGCCTCAGTCTTCACTGGCAAGGACTCCAACCACACTCCTGGAGTCACAGAAGATAATAGAAGGGGCTGGAAGGAAGAGCTGCCCATTGTAAGTGATGATCAGGTTTGGGACCACCTGATGAACCTGAAGGTGTGTAAGTCCGTGGCACCTGATGGGATACACCCACAGGTATTGAGGGAATTGGTGGATGAGGTTGTTATATCCGAAAAGTCATGGCAGTCCAGTGAAGTCCCGACTGACTGGAAAAGGGGAAACATAACCCCCATCTTCAAAAAGGGAATGAAGGAAGAACCAGGGAACTACAGGCCAGTCAGTCTCTCCTCTGTGCCCGGCAAGATCATGGAGCAGATCCTCCTGGAGGCACTGCTGAGGCAGAAGAATAACGAAGAGGTGTTTGGGCATAATCAACATGGCTTCACCAAAGCCAAATTGTGCCTGACAGACCTGGTGGCCTTCTATG